GCGCAAAGTAGTGACTGATTTGACTTGATCCATGTGTTGGCTTCCAGAACTACTTGCATTTGCATTATATTGCCCCTTGGGAGTTTGTTGTGGTTGAGATGGAAACTTACCTTTCTCTTGGAAACTGAGAGCATATGTTAATTTTGCAAGAGTATCTTTAAAATCTGTCATGTTTTGAGTAAGTTGAGTATTGATTGTCTCTTGCTTTTCAATGAATGCATGCAATGTTTCCTCAAGATTTCTTCTAGAAGGTGGAGCATAAGGAGGTGCATATCCATGAGAATTTTGAAAATTATAAAGTGGTTGATTATCTTCTTCGGCCATATTTTCTGAAAATGATGAGAATACCCTACAAAGTCTACCACTTGATGTACGTGACCACACTTTCATGCACGTATAGGAATAGAATAAAAGGAAGAAGAAAACAAAAGAAGAAGAAACAAGAGAAAAGAAACAAAGTTATATACAAGAAAAGTGAAAAGAGAAAATAAAATAACTACTATAATTTATACAAGAACTTACCTCCCCGGCAACGACGTCAAAACACTTGACACGACTAAAAGATTGATGTCTTCTCCCAAGTGCAGGAGTGTTGAAGTAATAAATATCCCGGCAAGACCGGGGTCGAACCATAGGGAGGTTAATTGTACAAATTATAAACAACAATTATAAACAACAATAATAGCAATAATAACAACAACAATAACAATAATAACAACAACTATAATAATAATAATAGTAGTAGTAGTAGTACGCTGAAGGACAGCTTCGGGCTTCTTTGTTGTTGCAATAATTTGGACTTGAAAATGACCTTTTTAGATCTTGGGCTCCATATGAAAGTTGTAGGCCTATGTCTTACCTTTCCATCCATATAAAGTAGACCTAAATCTGAGATCTATAGCTCCAGATATGACCCAATTACCGAATAGTGTTCCGGTTTGGATTGCATCGACATCTCTTTTCTAATTTTGGTCATCTCTTTGCCCTTGCAATTTAAGTTCTTAAAGTCATCAATCAATCCTTTCATTTATATGATAGGCCTGCATTTAAAATGAACATTTACCATAAATTAAAGGTATCTTATATTATTAGATATATTATTATAAAACATGCTTTAGTTAAGGAGTTATTGATACTTCAAGTGTAGAATGATGATATAAAACCATGATAAAAATGCACTTTTAAGTACTAATCACCTAAGATTTAAAAAGGTCATTTTTAAGTTCATATTGTAGCAACATCAAAGAAGTCTGAATTTATACTGTAGCTCGAGCATTGTTCAGTGTTTGACCTATATCTGGAGTTCTAAAAGTACAAATGACCTCTATTTTTTTCCTAGAAATCTAAGACAATTTTCTACAACTTTCATATTTTCAAGTGGTTATAATTCTGATATTATCAATGACTTTTTGGGCAGACAATAAAAGATAAGGATTGTCACCAAGTCAAGAGTTGGCCACCCACTAATCAATTAGTCATCAAATCAATAGTTCCTAATTTTCGCCTATGAATGGAGGTATTTGCCATGCATTTAGGCATCTTGGTCTCCAGATCAAGATCATGCTCTTACTTTCTCTCTTTGTGTTTTTGTAATTCTTAAGTTTTACTTTCATTAATATCAAGTTTATGCCTTTCAATTCCTTTTCCTTATTTAGTTAACTTTTATCTTATTTATGTTCTTATTTTGTTTATTTCTTTTTCTTTTTTTCACTATGTTTAGTTAAGTTTATCATGTCAAGGTGAAAATGTTACACTAATGGTGTAAGAATAAGTATAGTATAAACTTGATATGGAATTTAATGTTTGATATTAACATGTTTTGCATTTGTTATCTTGTTCACTCTTTAATACTTATACTAACATGTAAGAATTTTCCATACATATGTATCTAATAGACATATCCAGAAAAGGCCTCTAGGAGGGTCTAAATTGCTGTCTAAAGTTAGCATCATATTTGTGTCTGAATTTTTACTGAAATTATGTTGTGTTCTTCTTTGTAGATTTTAGTTTTTTAGTTTGTAAAACTTATTGTTTCAGTTTGATTCAAGTTATTTCATTTTATAAAAGTGTTTTTGTACATAATCATGGTTGGCTAATCTTTTTCTTGGATCCAAATCAAAGATGATGGTGGTTGAGGTGAGTTCTTTAAGATATGAATGAATATTAATGTTTATCTTCTCATTTTCTTCATGAATGTTTTATTATTGCAAGGAAATTTTATAAATCATTTAGGTAACGTTATAATCTTGAATTTTGATGCACAAATTTTAGTTTTGGTATACAGATTGTTTGATTCAATGTCTTACTTAATATGAAAGTATTTGTTCATTCTTACGCAATAATTAATCTTCATCTTTTTAAACTTCGTTGTAATATGTTCTGATCTAATATCACCATCGTTGATATTAAGTTGAGTTATTTTATATTTCTTGAAGAAATCACCAATACATCACTATTAAAATTGATTTGGACTAAGATACCTTTTCTTGTTATTTAAAATCTATTTACATGTTTCCTCTTTGAAAACAAATCCATTAATTATTTTCAACCAAGTTATTGTTAATTTAATTTCTCTTGAGTTTTTTTTTTTGGTTACGTAGCTTAATTTTCAAATCTACTCTCTGTGGATATAACCTCGATCTTACCAAGTTAATTGCTACATTGCACACATGTGCACTTGCGCGTTAAAACAAATCGATCATAAAAAGCGATCAAGCAATTTTGATGCCATTGCCGGGAGAGCTAACAAGAAAGGGTAACAAATTTAGATTTGATTATTAAAAAATAAAAAAATCATATAAAAAAATCAATTGGCTAGTTTTACTGCCTAAAAAATTAAAAAAATAAATCAATTGGCTAGTTTTACCGCCTCAAAAAAATTGACCTCAACTTTTCGGATATTGGATTGTGGAATAGACTACTAATTATTGAATTTTGGTTGGGTCATCCATTTTTCTTTTGATATTTATTATAATTAATTTATAATATTTATTGTTTATATTATAAGATTGGTTTTACTGCCTCTTGTTTATTTTATTTTATCTTATTGTATTGTTGTGATTTTTTTTAAGTACTTGGTTGGTATTATCGCCTCTTGTTTATTTTATTCTTTTTATTGTTTTGTTGTGATTATTTTTCTTATATTTATTATTTGAAGCACTTGGCTGGTATTACCAGCTCTTTATTCATGTTTGTTATAATTATCTTTTAATGTTTATTATTGTTAATGTTGCTTATCAGTTGGAGTATGAATTTTTTAATTTATTGTATTTTCATTTTTGAGCTATTACTTTATCTTTTACGTTTTATTTACTTTTATTTGCAATCTTCTTTTTCTTTTTCTTTTTCTTTTTCCATTCATTTCATATTCATATAATTGTTATATTATTTTTTTCATCATGGCTAATGTTAAAGATATAGATGGTGAAGGGAGTGTTCAAGGTAATGGACCTTCACAATTCAATGATCAACCTAATTTTCGAACTCTTAGAGAGTATCTTCACCCAACTAAACAAAGTACACTTTCATGTATTATCTTGTCTCATAACCAACAAGCTTTCAATTTGAAACTGGGCATGTTCCAACTTCTTCCAACATATCATGGTATGGATTCTGAAAATCCATATATACACACTAAGGACTTTGAAGAGGTATGTAATACTTTTATTGATAAAACATGCACCGAGGAAACTGTTCGGCTTAAATTGTTCCCATTCTCTCTAAAGGATAAAGCCAAACTTTGGCTAAACTCCTTACATCCTAGGCCTATAGGTACATGAAGAGAAATGTAAGCTGAAGTTTTTTAAAAAATACTTCCCCACTCATAGGACGATAGCCTTACAACGTCAAATGATGAATTCTTCTTGTAGTCCAAATGATTCATTTCACCAAACTTGGGAAAGGTTCAAAGACTTGTTAAATGCATGCCCCCACCATGGTTTTGAGATGTGGAGGTTAGTGATTTTCTTCTATGACTCTCTTACCGCAAATTTTAAAAAGCTAGTGTCAACCATGTGTAATGGTGAGTTTTATAACAAAGAACCAAGTGAAGCCTTTGATTTTTTTGATCAATTGGTTGAAAACACAAAAGTAATAGGAGATCTCTCTCCCACTTTATGTTGAGTCTAGAAACACCATTTCTCATTCGAGTGGTAAGTTCCAATTGAAAGAGACCGATGACCTCAATGCCAGATTAGCCTAATTGACTATGAAAGTAGAGTCTCTTGAGCTTAAAAAAATACATGTCATGAGTGAACAACAAGAAGAGAGTTGTGTTGTGTGTGAGAGCAAAGGGCATAGGACAACTGAATGTCCTACTATTCTAGCCTTCAAGGAAGTGCTATATGGCTAAACTTTTGATTTAAGTAATGTTAGAAAGCCTTTTTCAAACCAAGTAGGCAATCCCTACTCTGATACCTATAATCTTGGATGGAGGAACTACCCAAATTTTGGATGGAGAAATGAGGGCTCTTCAGTATCTTAAAAATTTCAACCTCCACCCCATCCATTTCATGATCCCACACATAACATGTATCAACCACCTCATAAGAGATCCTTAGAGGATACTCTTCAATAATTCATGCAAACACAAGGAGGAATTAACAACCAAGCTTATAAATTTCAAGACCAAACCAATAGGACCTTAGATGATATTCGAAGTCAACTAACTAAGTTGACTCAATCACTAAGCATTTAAGAGAAAGGAAAAATCCGAGCTCAACCAATGCCCAATCCTAGAGGTCAAGTACACATGAGTGAATCCTTACCTAGTGAACCTTCAAACCATGAACAAGTCTAAGCCATCACCACCCTTAAAAGTGGAAAGATTGTTGATAAAGGTATAGGTTTTGGGATTCCTAAAGGTATTGTGGAGGAGAAATCTAGGGAAAGTGATGAGGGAATCAAAACACAAGTGACAAATGAGAGTTTGAATGAAAAGGAAGGCGAGATAAATGAGAGAGAAATGAGTGAGAAAGGAGATGATTCAAGAAAAATTAGAGTTAAAATGAGTGATTTAGAATTTGTTCCAAGAGCACCATTTCTATGAAGGTTAGGGAAACCTAAACATGATCTTATGAACTCGAAAATCTATGAATTGTTCAAACAAGTGAAAATCTTATGAACTCAAAAATCTATGAATTGTTCAAACAAGTGAAAGTCAATATTCCACTCCTTGATGCAATTAAACAAGTCTCGTCTTATGCAAAGTTTCTTAAGGATTTATGCACAGTCAAAAAGAGATTGAATGTGAAAGAAAGAGCCTTTCTAACTGAACATGCTAGTGCCATCATCCAGTTTAAGACCCCTCCCAAATACAAAGATCCTAGTTGTCCTACCATTTCATGCATTATTGGCAGTCATAAGATAGATCAAGCTTTGTTGGATTTAGGAGTAGATGTGAATTTAATACCCTACACTGTTTACGAACAATTAGGTTTAGGAGAAATCAAGCCTTGTTTATGAATAATTAGGTTTAGGAGAAATTAAGCCTACTCGAATCACCCTTCAATTAACTGATAGGTCAATCAAGATTTCCAGGGGTATTGTTAAGGATCTGTTGGTCCAAGTAGATAAATTCTACTTTCTTGTTGATTTTGTAGTGTTAGACACCGCACCTATTCAAGGATCTAATGCTCCCATCCCAGTCATCTTAGAGAGACCTTTCCTAGCTACATCCAATGCCTTAATTAACTGTAGGAATGAGGTGATGAAATTGTCTTTTGGGAATATGATTATAGAGATGAACATATTCAATGTTTCTAAACAAATTGATGAACATGAGGATTTAGAGAGGTAGATTTGATCCAAACAATTTGTCAAGAACACTCTAAGATAGAGTGGATAAAGGATCCATTGGAGAGAACTTTAATTCATGATGAAAGATTTTATTCTTTAGAATGTGATGATAAGGAAGTAAAAGAGCTTAGGAATTATCTAGATTTAATGCCTATTATGTTAATAAGTCAATGGACCCCATCGTTTGAGCCTTTGATTTTAGCCCAAGTGAAAGTTGAGGCATTTCTTGTCCAACCTTATAAACCAGAAAGGAAGCCTTTACTGAGTGATCTTAATTATGCATTTCTTGGGGAAAATGAATCATATCCTAATATGATCTCATCAAAACTTAGCATAGAGTAGGAACAAAAACTTTTGAGAGGTGAGAAAACACAAGAAAGCAATTTGGTGGACAATTATTGACTTGAAAGGAATTAGCCCTCTTTTATATACACATAAAATCTATCTTGAAGAAGAGGCTAAATTTGTGAGGCAAATGCAAAGACAATTGAACTCAAACATGAAGGAAGTAGTGAGAGGTGAAGTGCTAAAGCTACTTGATGTAGGTATGATTTACCCCATTGCAAAGTCAAAATGGGTTAGTCCAACCCAAGTTGTCCCTAAAAAATCTGAAGTCACGGTAGTGAAGAATGAAAATAATGAGCTAGTGCCAACAAGAATCCAAACTAGATGGCGTATGTGCATTGATTATCATAAGTTGAACATGGTGACTAAGAAGGACCATTTTCCACTTCCATTTTTAGACCAGGTGCTTAAAAGAGTAGCTGGAAGAGCTTTTTATTATTTTTTTGATGGATACTCGGGTTACAATCAAATTAAGATCTCCTTAGAAGACCAAGAAAAAACCATTTTTACTTGTCTTTTTGGTACTTATGCTTATAAAAGAATGCCCTTTGGCTTAATGCACCAACCACTTTTCAAAGGTGTATAATGAGTATCTTTAGTGACATGGTGGAAATTTTTTTGGAAGTTTTCATAGATGATTTTTCAGTTTATAGGGATTCTTATGAGTTGTGTTTAATGCATTTAGAAAAAGTTCTTGAAAGATGTGAAGATAGCAATCTTGTACTCAATTAGGACACATGACATTGTCTTAGGTCACATTGTCTCTTCAAAAGGGATATAGGTAAATAAGTCAAAAGTTGAAATTATTCAAAAATTACCTACCCCTAGGACTGTGAAAGATGTGAAATCCTTTTTAGGACACACTTGTTTTTATTGAAGATTCAATCATTCTTTTAGTACCATTGCCAAACCATTGTGTAACTTGTTGTCACAAGATGTCTAATTTGATTGGACATCAAAATGTCAAGAGGCTTTTGAAAAGCTTAAAGGGTTGTTGATCACTGCACCAATCATGTAAGCTCCTGATTGGTCTTTACCATTTGAACTGATATGTGATGCTAGTGATTTTGCGGTAGGGGCTGTTTTAGGGCAAAGAAAAAATAAGAAGCCTCATGTCATTTATTATGCTAGCAAGACTTTAAATGATGCTTAATTGAATTACACTACAATTGAAAAAGAACTCTTTGCTGTGATCTTTGCATTAAACAAGTTTAGGTCTTATTTAGTTGGATCTCTTGTTATTGTTTTCACTGATCATGCAACATTGAAATACTTGCTCACAAAATAAGATGCCAAACTACATTTGATTCGATGGATCCTCATACTCCAAGAGTTTAACCTTGAAATTCAAGATAAAAAGGGAGTAGAGAATGTAGTGGCTGATCATTTGTCCCGTCTTTCAAGTGATAAGACCATAATTGATGAATCTCCAATAAATGAACTCTTTGCTGATGAAAATTTATTTTGTGCAGGTACTGTCTCTTACATTGATTCTCCATGGTATGCTGATGATTGTGCATCAAAAGTGTCATTAAGTCTCTTATTTTACATATGTATTTATTGTTTTTTTTTTTTAATAATAATTGATGTGCTTTTTAGTAATGAAGTTTGTTTTAATGTTTCAATAGGTTTTTGGAGCTTAAATGAATTAATTCAGAAAATTCAACATTGGAATTCAGAACAAAGAATTGAAGAGACATTTAGTTGAAGATTGAAGCAAATCTTGGTTCAAATAAGTGCTCCAAATTTGTCCCAAAAATCAATTATATTCCAATTCTAGAAAAGAATATCATATGATCTATTTCAAGCCCAAACTTGCCTTATATTGTGTGCAAACTTCAACCATTAAACACTCAAGGTTTCAATGTCAATCTTAGCCAAAATAATGGGTACATTTGTATACTTATTTGATGCTTAAATTCAGCCCCAAATCAACCCCAAATCAACCTTCAAATCAGCCCAAACACAATCCATGATCTTACATGTCCACACAATAAATAACAATTGATTTATTTTGGGTAATCCATTAATCGAAGAAGGCAAGCATATGGATGGAAAGCTGGAGGGGACATTTTTACATTATTTTGGGTCAAAAAGAAGAAAGAGCCAGCTCATAAATGAGGAAGAAAAATGTGCACCAAAGTGGTTGCAAAGCTGTCATGATTTGATTTTTCAGAATACCTTTTGGTGTTTTTGCCCATAACTTTTGACTCAGGTGTCCAAATGAGCTGTTCTTTAATGATCTGGAAAGGTGACAGAATTTCCTATAAATATGTATCCAATAGACATCTCGAGAAAAGGCTTCTAAGAGGGTCTAAATTGCTGTCCAAAGTTAGTATCAGATTTGTGTTCAAATTTTTACTGAAATTGTGTTGTGTTTTTCTTTATAGATTTCGGTTCTTTAGCTTGTAAAACTTATTATTTCAGTTTGATTCAAGTTATTTCATGTTTATTGAAGTGTTCTTATATATAATCATGGTTGGCTAATCTCTTTCTTGGATCTAAATCAAGGATGATGGTGGTTGAGGTGAGTTCTTTAAGATATGAATGAATCTTAATGTTTATCTTCTCATTTTCTTCATGAATGATTTATTATTGCAAGGAAATTTTAAAAACCATTTAGGTAATGTTATAATCTTGAATTTTGATGCACAAACTTTAGTTTTGGTATAGAGATTGCTTGATTCAATGTCTTACTTAATATGAAAGTACTTGTTCATTCTTAAGCAATAATCAATCTTCATCCTTTTAAACTTCATTGTAATATATTTCTATCTAATATCACCATCGTTGATATTAGGTTGAATTATCTTATATATCTTGAAGGAATCACCAATACATCACCATTAAAATTGATTTGGACCAAGACTTACCTTTTCTTATCATTTAAAATCTATTTATACGTTTTCATCTTTGAATACAAATCCATCAATTATTTTCAACCAAGTTATTATTAATTTAATTTCTCTTGAGTTTTTTTTTGTTACCTAGCTTATTTTCTAGATCTAGCTCTCTATGGATATGACCTCGATCTTACCGAGTTAATTGCTACATCGCACACTCGTGCACTTGCGAGTTAAAACAAGCCGATCATAAAAAGCAGTCAATCAATTTTGGCACCGTTGCTAGGGAGCTAGCAAGCAAAGGTAACAAATTTAGATTTGATTATTGGAAAACTAAAAAAAAATTCATATAAAAAAAATCAATTGGACTGTGGAATGGACTACTAATTGTTAGCTTTTGGTTGGTTCAACCATTTTTCTTTTAATGTTTATTCTAATTACTTTATAATATTTATTATTTATATTTTAAGGATGGTTTTACCGCCTCTTGTTTATTTTATTTTATCTTGTTGTATTGTTGTTGTTTTGTTTTTTTTAAAGCACTTGGCTGGTATTACCGCCTCTTGTTTATTTTATTTTTTGTTATTTTATTGTAATTTTTTTTTCTTATATTTATTGTTTGAAGTACTTGGCTGGTATTACCGCCTCCTTATTCATGCTTGTTATAATTATCTTTTAATGTTTATTATTGTTAATATTGCTTATTAGTTGGAGTGTGAATTTTCTAATTTGTTGTATTTTTATTTTTGAGCTATTACTTTATCTTTTACATTTCATTTACTTTTATTTGCAATCTTCTTTTTCTTTTTCCTTTCTTTTCATATTCATATAATTGTTATCTTATTATTATTATTATTATTATTTTCATCATGGCTAATGTTGAAGATGTAGAGGATGAAGGGAGTGTTCAAGGTAATGGACCTCCACAATTCAATGATCAACCTAATTTTTGAACTCTTAGAGAGTATCTTCACCCAGCTAGACAAAGTACACCTTCGTGTATTATCTTGCCTCTGAACCAACAAGC